TGTTTTAAAAACGCAAAGAAAATGTAGGAAATATATGAGACGCATTTAATATATTAAAAAATCATGATTATCGGAGTTTCGGATGATCTGGAAAGAAATTGGGGAAAAGAGGAAATGATTTGCATTCGCGCGGATAATTTAGTTAAGGAATAAATAATGCGTTTCTCCCTCTTTCGTAGAGATTCTTTCCCAAACTCACAAATTTATTTATTTCAAGCTGTAGAAACGGTTGCCTCGAATCAGCTTTGTTATTTTAATATCTTATATTTTTGTTTAATTAATTACTGCAGTTATTCTCTATTTGAAATTATACTATCGACGAATTGCGAAACTATAAGTAATTGTGGCGTTGGCAGCGCGAGCCTTTTATCACTGATGAACAAATAAATTTATCATCATTTTGCGCGTGTGGGCGCCCCTGCTTTTTATTGCTTCGGATACTCTCGCACGCGAATCGGAAAGAAATTAGGTTAATTGCGCTCCCGCCGCCTGCTAATCAGCTTAATACAACGATACCACGACACTTCCGCTCTTCATCGCGTGCACAACGCGAGTTAATAGTAGATAATACGTTATAAAACACGGTGTACACTACGCATTTTCTCCTATAGCCCAAAAAAAAAAAAAAAAAAATTCCACTTCCGAATCGTCTTTCATAAAATATTTATTTCATTCCTACTTTTGTTCAGATTAACACAATTCGGAATATCGACGTTTTTAATTAATTAAGCGGGCTTTCAGGTACTAGAAGCTTATGACCTCCGGTATAGTTCGATGATGATTGTCGATGTGCCGTTCCATCGTCTCGTTTTCACGCAGAATCCAGTAGCATATTTTGCAGTATCTCTGGCAGTGAAACTTGACGTGAGTCGACAGGGAAAACAAAGTGGCAATCGGCTCCTGGCAGAGATTACACGCGTATCCTAATCCCCGTCGATCGGCAACCTGAAAAAGTTCAATGAAATCTTAATTATTTTCGATTTTTCCCAAAAATCAATTGATTTTCGCGACATTAAGATGGAAATAACGTTTCACTTTCCCTCTAGAGCTAAAGATTGAGTTGCTATTCACTTATAATTTATTTCTTTTATTTATTTTATCTACATGTATCTCAGTATCTGTTCGTAAAATGGCATTGAACGCGATTCGATTAGATCTTCCGCTAATATTCTTGATTATCTTATCTCAACAAGATTCTCGTTATCAAAAATTATTGATGACATTTTATTAGAATGTTTTGATTTGATTATAGAATTCTTTATTATATGTTACTGCAATAATATCTTAATGACACGCATATTATCGAGAGAAGATAATCTCATACAAAGGTATGAAAAAGCGGAGCAACAGAATTTTCTTTTGATATAATTACTATAGGGCAATGGTATGTTAAAAACAAGTACGGCATACGTGTGAATTTCACAGTTTCAAAAGATTTATTGATTGCTTCAAAATTTTTCCTCGATTCGTCTGACTAATCGCGCTGCGTCATTGACACCCACGTTATTTTCGCTTTTCCGCGGAATCATCGTTTGTAAGAAATGTCGGGAAGAAAGAAATTCGGGTGAATCGGTGGGGAAAAACGTTGACCAAGACTGCTGGCTTTTAACGCCAAACAGCGAATGAACTAAAGGAAATTATAAAAACAATCGGGATACATTCAGTTTTTATCCCGCATGATGTATTACGCTCATCGACGCGACACGTCTATGCTATTGTCTAATGCGTTCGTTTTAAGAATAAGGCGGAGAAGAAACGGTAAAGTCTCGCCAAGAAATAGAAAGAAAAATTATCCCGTTTTTCTCCGTCTTTCCTTCCGTTAGTATAGCACTATTGCTAATTTCGAGACACTAAATGATGTAAGAAACCAACGATTTTTTGTTATAATTTATTTTTTAAGAGAGCCTTTCTCTCTCTCGATCTTCAAAGCAAGATGTTTATACTGATTTTTACTCCCGACTGCTGCTGAGGGAGTATGCGTTTTTTAATCAGCTGATGTTATGCACATTATTTTGCAAATTAATACATGTGCAATTTTAAGTATGCTCTTTTATATTTTTTATTACAATTTTACATTTCATAAATTTATATTTGTGAAATAAACTGAAAGTTGAACACTAGAATCAATGTGGAAGTGAATATGACATTAGAATTAAAACTATATAGAATACCAATATACCATGCAATAGGAAAAGTGCATAATATTTTTAAAATAATGTAATTTTTATTTGGTTTGAATTAATACGTTGATTAGACAAATAATAAATAAATGAATAAAACGCCGGGAGTTTTTGATAAGTAATATCTACTTACAACAGTTGCATCACCGCTGCCACCGAGGTCCATCAATTTCTCAGAAATTACAGTGTAATGCGGCATTCTTGTGCCGGCGGCCTCTTTTCGTCGTAGTAGGATAATTGGTTGTTTTTGTATCTCAAACTGTAAATTGCGAATTTTAATCTCGACGTACTGTGCATTTTGGAAGTTGTCAATGAACAATACAAGCATGAATAATACATACATGCTAACTTTCTTGAAATTATAATATTTAAGAATGCTCCAAGGATAATTCGTTGCTGTAAGTAAAGAAAGATACCTTTCTCATGGTCTGCACCGGTGTAGGGATGTCATAGATAAAGTCCTTCTTCGTCATTTTCTCACTGATATTGCGATTACATCGCAAATTATACTTAGAGGCATCCAACAACTTGGCAGTTGACGTCGCAACCTCTTGGCAAGCGTTCATATTTGCATTTTGCTAGTCATTTTTCTCGTGCTATCCGACTTCGATTATTCTTACAAAACAAAAGCTTTCCAAGAAATAATTGAAAATCAGGGACGCGTTAAAGCAGCATTCCATTCTCGTATCTTCTGAAACCTTAACTTTTGAGACTTTTACACTTCAGACACTCTCTAAGAATAAGATAAATGTAGAAAACGAATAGAGTTTTAACTGTTTAAAATAAATCTGGCATAAAAAATATAGCGGTAAACTTTTTGTTGATTTTGATTTTTGTTAAACGAAGACCAGTTTATTATGAAATTTATTTTTATTCTTGTTATATATATATAATTATAATTACAGATGTTTCTTACAGCATAATTTCTCATCTTGTGAGAATCACATCGATATAAGATTTAGCAAAACGTATCTTCTATATTTAACATTACTTGTTACATGTTAGTTCATTTAAAAATCATCGATCTCGCATTAAGTTATTAGATATTACATATATAAACAGAGAATAAGAGATAGTCTAAATTTTTGTCTTAAACCTACTTCGTAACAACCTCTGTTGTGTCAAAAGACAAGACGTAGCTCATACTTTTAACTTTTATTTTGTTGTCGCGGTTTCTGAAAACATCGCGATATTATGTACATGGGATTCTACCCTAGCCATCAAATTCAGCCGCCGTTATATATATATATGTATAATGTGTGTATGTGTGTTGTGTATGTATATATACATAACGTGTGTGTATATATGTTTTATATATATATATATATATATAATATATGTATATATATATATATAATATATATATATACATATAATATAATATATATAATGTATAATATATATAATATATAATATATATAATATATATATATATATATATATAATATATATTATATATATATATGTAATATGTATATATAATAGTTAATAAAAATAAAATGTTAAAAATAAATAGAACCATTTTACCTCTAAAAAGAAGTATATTACGGCGCGACATTAATTTCGTATGACTAGAGAATTGTGGCATTGAGAGGTGATAAAAATTATCAAACGAATAACCCTATTGAACGAAAAGATCATTTTGTTTTTTCTTTTAACATTCCAAGGAACTATACTAGCTTTTATGTTCAACTCATTTACAATTGAAATATCCTAATTGTCACTGGACTTTTTGACATATGCTGTATTTCTAGCATAACAAAGCTCATTGGATTAAGGGATTAGATCTGTACAGAAATTAGCATAATAAAAAATATATCTTTTCATATTAAAATAAATAATTTTAGGACTTTAATTATTATAAATTATTACAAAATATTTTGTAATAATTTTGTAATATAAACTCATACGCGATATTTACATAATTCGAATTAAAATAACAATAAAGATTTTGCAGTAATTTAGAAAAAAGCTCCAAAATCATGTCGTTTTAAATTCCGAAAATAATGTGATGCTTTCATTATAGAAACAGCTATATATCAATTTAATGATGAATTTGCAAGGTACTAAAAATTATGAATTTATCTAGAAAATATATATATCGATTACTTTTTTACAAAAATGCCAAAAAGTTTTTATTAATGCTTTATTGGATCTAACCCTTTAAGTCAATTGTACCTCATATATGGAGTCTTGCTCATTATGTCAAAATATAAAATGTAATAATGTTAAACGTGGATATTTTACATATAAAATGTAAGCTTTCAAATAGGCCTTTGATATTAAAAATAGGCGTTATTAGATCGTTGGCCACACACAGAAAAAGAAGAGAGAGAGAGGGAAAGAGACAGAAAGAAGCATGTGCTCTCTCTGCATTCTGTGTAATTAAAAATATTTAGAAGACATATAACCTCTATATAATATCGAGATGATCAGACGATTCCACTCTCGGATATATTGCGACTATTTACTTATTGTAAAATAAATCATGGATTCGTCATAATAAAACAGATAAAAATCATTTTATTCTTCTAAAAATGATGGTTATTGCGCGAATCAGACGCTATCTAAATGAAATTTCTAGGGTTAGGACTCTCTATTTTTCCTTAAAGAGGAATCTTGATGCAACAGGAGCGGTATTCTTTCTTGTCTAACCTCGGGAAGTGACGCTAGCTCTTGAACCGGACTTCGCTGCCATATACTTCTCGTTGCCATTTCTTGGTAACCCCTTCTTCTTACCTAAAGATCGGACATTTCTATTTTTGACATATCTGAGCACTCTTTTCTAAGTCGATGGCAATGTTTTTCGTTACGTTGCATTCGCAAAGTTTGTTACATCATGAAAATAGGTCAAGATACTTACTTGTCTATGATGAAGCTCATGCAGGTACAATGTAGACAAAGACATGTCGGCAGCGGTTAATTCTGTAGGTACATATGGATCTGTATGCGTCTCCATAACGTAACTGTGGCCCGATCCGAATACAGAAGCACCTAGCGACTGATTCGATATACCCTGCTGCAAATCATATAGGAATCCTTTATCATTGTGCAACGGACCTTCCGTCCTGGACACACCTCGACGTAAAACGGTAGACTTTGTGGCAAACGATTGATCGACGCCGACCGATGTGGCCGATGTACCCGGTTGATTTGTGAATATGTTACTCATGCTAGGTACACTCACTTGATTTATCGTGCTTCGAATAATATTCGACACGTGATCTCTATACTGTAACAATATATTAATGTATTAATATACGAAGCAAACAACTCTAGTAAAATTATTCAGTGAGCAAGAGAAAAATCAAACACTTACGCCAAGACCGGATAAACTGTTCAAACTAGCAATCAGAGGATTGTTATAAGGATCAGGATCGGCAGTAACTTCCTTCTTAGCCCTCTCTTTCAAAGCAGTTACGAAATTTTCCGCGTGGGACGGCGGCTTCCATTCGGGATTCGTCAAAGTGAAATGTATGAGGGACAATTCGGTCTTGCCGTCTTCGGCCTGGGTATAATGATTCGACATCGGCACGTGGTACTTGTCTGGACCGATGCCATATTGATTGTCGTATCCCGCACTATGATCGTCCGGTATTGGAGAGACTGTGGGGCTGTGCGCTACAGTCTGCCACATGGGATTGCCGTGTCTACGTACGTCCATCTGAGCGAAGCTACACACGTCACCAACTCCAGCTACTTCAATCGTGAAGTTACGAAAAAAATCTACAATTTCTAAGGCTCGGTGTCTCATACGGAAGCACAAAATGTACGTCGTCACGAATGGAGAAACCAGCTCTTCTAGGAGATGCACCGCGCGATATTGGAACAGTTGTGCCACTTGGGCCCTGGTGGTATGCGTATGAGCGGTTCCTCGCCAACTGTCCGGTCTGTAATGCGTATGGGCCAGCACAGCAGTTAGAAGAGTCTCGGGACACCAAACCAAATTCTCATCGGGTACGATTGCCTTCGCGGCTGCCGCTACCGCACCCAGCATGGTCATGTAGGCAACCACGCGCTCCATCGAGAATATCGGCTCGTAGATCAATGTTATAACCAGTAACACCGCCAATACGCTACCGGTGATGAACGCAATGTGCTTCGCAAGTATTGTCATTATCGGGGACGTGAAGCTGCTCATATACTTTGAAGCGGGACGGTACGCGCGACTGAGACGCGCGTTCATTTCGTGATCGAGTTCGTTGAAATGACGCAGGTACAACCGACCGTACAAAGACCACGTCCGCATTGCTAGAACGCTTGGCTCCCGTTTAATAGTCTGTCGATAATATTATTATTGTATGTCATATGTTAGTATTGATTATCATGTTAAAAATTTTATTGATTACCATAAATAAGCACAATTACTCACCTCGGCGTAATTGAAAAACGTATACAGAACCTGCCACAGGAGTATAAGAAAACACAAGACGAAATTTGCGATACCGACCCATAGAATGTTTTTAGATAACGATCGTGCGAGTTCTTGCCTTTTATTCAGTTTTTTATAATCCTCTTTTAGATGCCAATTATTTTCGAATGGCGACCATGGTCCCCCTAGGGAAACGATTAAATTAGTTATTTCCAGTAAAGTTATACGTACTTATCATACTGTACTTACAAAATAGTATACTTACAAAATAGTAATAATTCTATATTGTATTTCAATCCACGTGTCAAGAAAATGACTTCTCCTATAATGGGGACTTTGAGTCGCACGGGTAAGAGGGACTTGTTGATCATAGCTACCATGTAATTCTTATGTCTTAATATCCTATGGTAAATATCCAATTCC